AATGAAATATTCATAAAAACTCAGACAAAAACAGATTGTGGAATATTCTCAAATAAAATTAGGTTGTACCCTTCAAAATTATCATCTAAGACAAGCTAAGGGAGTACTTTTTCTGGATTAAAGTAAAGACATGACAAATGCACTATGTGATCCTTGATTGGCTCCTGGATTGTCGGGGGAGAAAAATGACTAAGAATGTTATTGAGAGAACAGGATATTTGAATATGAAAAACTAGCTATTTTTTTATTTGTAGTTGGACACAATACCTTTATTTTTCCATTTGCTGAGGATCAAACTAGGGCCTCATACGTACTAGGCGAGCATTCTACTGCTGAGTCACAACCACAGTCCCCAAACTAGCTATTTTATGAATATTAAAAATCATAGGATTGGGGCTGGGGATGTGGCTCAAGTGGTAGCGTGCTCGCCTGGCATGCGTGCAGCCCGGGTTCGATCCTCAGCACCACATACAAACAAAGATGTTGTGCCCGCCGAAAACTAAAAACTAAAAAATAAATATTAAAAATTTAAAAAAAAAATCATAGGAGCTAGGGTTTAGCTCAGCGGTAGAGTACTTGCTTCGCACATGTGAGGCACTGGGTTCAATCCTCCACATCATATAAAAATAGATATATATTTTTTTAAATCATAGGTGTGGTAATAGTATTTGGCTGTATAAAATAATGTTCTTAGGGATAAAATCTTTACTATATTTTCAAATGATTTTGATTTAGCTAGGACAACACACACATATATTTGCACAGAAAGAGATAAGTGTAGGAAAATGTTAACTAGTCAATCTAAGTAAAGGGTATACAAAGATTCATTATACTTCTGAACTTTACTATAAAGCTGAGGGAGGGGGACTGGGGCTGTAGCTTGATGGCAGAGTGCTTGCCTAACAGGTGTGAGGCAATGGGTTTATTTATTTTAGCACTGCATAAAATAGACATACTGTCCATCTACAACTACAAAAAAAAAAAAAAGGCTGAGGAAAGGGTAACAATGGACTTAAACCCTCCCCATGAAGATTAAACAGGGAAGGGAAGAATCATGCCTTTCTTCAGTTGAATGCACTTCTGCACGGGCAGCTTTTCTCTTTAAATACCTCAACCACAGCTTCCCACAGTTTTAAAAGTTAATGCAGGCCTGTGATCCCAGCTACTCAGGGCTGGGAATGTAACTCAGTAGAGAGCACTTGCCTGGCATGTGAAGCTCTGGGTTTTTTCCTTAGCACTAGCTTAAGGAAATAAAGAAAGAAGGGGAAAAAAAAAAATAAAAATATATATATATATATATATATGTTTGGTATTTATTTTATTAAAAACATAATCTAGCAAAGGAAACAGTACAAACATGAAGTAAAGTGACTTGCCCATCCTGATCACACAGGCACCAAGGCAAGACTGGGATCAGGATCTTTAACCCCCTGTCATCCCTACAATATCTCTATTATTATCAGAAATGGAAAGTTAGAGACAGAAGAGACCAGGTCGCCAGAGACTACTTCTCATTATTTTTGCTCAAGTAAGCTCTGTGGGTTCTGTTTCTAGACTGCCTCCATCCATACCCACAGAACTCTTTTCATGACCCACCCTCCATCCTTAGACTTTATCACACGTCAGTCAAAGCTCTAGGGATTAATCATAAATGGGAGTTGGGCCCTCCTCGAATCTTTCTTTTATACCCTCTTCCCTCCCAACATATCCCTCCAGTAGAAGTCAGTAGCCATTATGTAAGAGGAACTGGGATGAGTGAAAGCAAGTAATGCTTTCGCCAAAAAACTCTGAACAACCACAAATCCTGTTGGCTCCAGTTGAAAATCTGGTGGAAGAGATAAGAACCTTAGCTCTCATCCTCAAGATTCTCCATGTCTATATCCTGGGGGGGGTTAATCTTCTTTTGTCGTTTGGGCTGTGGATCACTAGTCCTGGCTGGTTTTGAAGGGACTTCCACTGAGCAAAAGGAAAGAGAAAGAGTTAAGGAGCTAAATAAACCCATGTTCCCCCTCTCCCTCCTTTTGTGCCCTAGTGTCACCTTCCATTGCTGCCTTCTCTTTCTGGGCAAGCCGGATCTGCTGCAGGAGTTTTCTGCGTTTCTTCCCTGACAGAGTAATATTGGCACGTGCACTGGATCTGAAGGGTAGGTAGGAGCAAAGATACCCAGGTTATACTGAACAACCTAGGTCACAAAAGTATTTCTGGCTATGGAAAGTGTCTTTCTATTCAAATCACACAACTGTATAAGTCTAAGGTTGTAAGTCTTTCCACCTTTAGATTTTAACATACTTTATTTGATCTAAATCTCAACACATATCTCAGGACCAAATATTAAAGATAGTACTTAAACATTAAAGTTTAGTTTGTAGTCGTCGCGTTGCTTGCTCTTGACTAAAACACTCAGGGTTACTCCAGGGGAACTAGGCTGTGCAAAATAACCACACAAGAGACAGAAATACCTTTTTCTTTGGGGGTGCTGTGATAGCTCCTTTGACCTTAAGGGTCCGCAGAAAGAGAGAGAAAGCAGGTGAGCACAGGCTGACCCCTTTTATTGAGCAGAAGCCATTCAAATGAGGCAAGAGGTCAGGTTTCAAGGGACCCAGTCTAGCTTTATGATGTCTGCTGTCAGCAGGTTGACTAACATCTAGGAAGGCCACACCCAAGGGCAGAGTAAGAAAAGGGGACACACAAAGGGAGTCTCCCTGGAACATTCTATCCCAAATAGGGTAAGGGGTAAAATTCACAAAGGAACAGGTGAGCTTAGCTTGACTCATGGAGCTTGAGGAAGGCATGCCTACCCATGAAGACACATTTGGTTGCATTATTTCTACCCTCAAGATCGGGGTTACCATTTTCAGCAACTTAAAGAGTAGCCAGATCATGGGGGGGGGGGTGCAGATGACAGTGCCTTAACCAATCAGGAGGGGAAAATTGCTGGTTACATGACATGGCAGCCTCCCACATGTAGTAGGTACTCTTAAATATATTTTTAAAATATTTTTTTACTTGTAGATGGATACATAGTATCTTTATTTATTTTTATGTGGTGCTGAGAATTGAACCCATGCCTCACGTATGCAAGGCAACTGCTTTGCTACTGAGCTACAGCCCCAGCCCCAGTACTCTAAATATTTTTAAGAAGTCAATGAAAGGAGGTAGAAACTAATTAACAGGGCCAGGTGAGGGTGGTGGTCCACACCTGTAATCCCAGTAGCTCAGGAGGCTAAGGAAGGAGGATGGCAGGTCCAAGCCAGTCTCAGCAACTTAGAAAGGCTGTCTCAAAATTAAAAAATAAAAAAGGGCTGGGGATGTAGCTCAATGTTTGATTTTGCTCTGAGGCTCACTCCCAGGTAAGAAAAAAAAAAAGATAAATAAAGTAATTAGTGGGCTGGCCAAGATGGCACAGGCTTGTGATCCCAGTGAATCTGGAAGCCAAAGCAGTAAGATTACAAGTTCGAAGCCATACTCTGCAACCTAACCAGACTCTTTCTCAAAACTAAATATTATAAAGGGGATGGGACATAGCTCAGAGGTCAAGCCCCCTGGGTTTAATCCCCAGTACTGAAAACAAACCAACAAAGTGATTAATGGAACAGGTAGTCTTTCCCAAGACTCAGCAGCGTTGAAACTGCTATGAAAAATCCTACGTGTATCTTTGGGAAAATTCAAGTTATGCACACTTATCTACACACTTTTGTTTTCTTTATGTAATATATGTATATATACATATACTTTTATTTTCCTTATGTAATATATATTTTTTATTTCTCTCTCTTTTTTTTTTAGTAACCAGGGATTGAACCCAGGGGTGCTTAACCACTGAGTACATGCCAAGCCCCCCCACCTTTTTTTTTGTGGTGCTGGGGACTGAACTCAGGGCCTTATGCATGCAAGGCAACACTCTACCAACTGAGCTATATCTCCAGCCCCTCCGAGCCCTTTATATTTTTTATTTAAAGACAGGGTCTCGCTAAATTGCTGAGGCTGGCCTGGAACTTGGGATCCTCCTGCCTCAGCCTCCAGAGTCACTGGAATCAAGATGCGTGCGTGCCAGGCGTGGTGGTACACGCGGCTCTGGAGGCTGTGGAAGAAAGATCTCGAGTTCAAAACCAGCCTCGGCAATTTAGCGAGATCCTAAATAAAATACAAAATAGGGCTGGGGACGAGGCTCAGTGGTGGAGTGTTCCAGAGTTCCATCCCTGATACCCACCGCCTCTCAAAAAAAAAGGGGGGGGGGCGTGCGCGCAGATTTACTACCAATACCTAAATTAATATAGATTGTTACTAGCGCTTGGGAGAATTAACAGCCTTCCTGAGATTCTCATTAGGGTCGAAGATCCAAAGAAAGGCAGAACAGCCGACAAACGTTCCCTACATAAAAGCGAAAGTACAAGGAAAGCTGAGTGATGGCGGCTCCGGAGCTACGGCCGGAGGTCTAGTACTCACGCCCGCTTCTTGAGGTGATGCCGTGTGATCAGCCCTTCGTCTATCACAGCCCCGACCACCTGATGCCTCAGTCGCTTCTCCCGGTTCAACACCCGCCGGCGTTTGAACAGCTTCTTCTTCAGCTCCTGCAAGGGATAAAGATGCGAATCAGGCTGAGGCCGCGCACGAACACAGATACCCAGAACCACCACCGCGGCGATCCCAGTCCCCCATCAATCCCATCTCGGGCGACAGAAGAGGGCTCCCGGAAGCTTGGAGAAACAAAGCAGCAATCCCACAAAAATCACCGTTCGAGGCCGGTTGATCTTCCCCCCTGGACCCCCCATGAGTGCGACCCCTCTCGCGTCCGGGGCACGCACTTCCGCTTCACGCCACTGCCCCAGGGCTCCACCCCCGCCCTCCGCGAGCCAATCGGAGCTCGGTGGCCGGTTCTGGGCGTACATAAGGGAGCTCGACAGGGTTTGCTTCCTTTCCGAGAGCAACTACCTAGTAAGTGTGGGCTGTTCGCTGGGAGCCGGAGGCTTAGCTGAGCTGGTTGTGGGTGGGCGTGCGGGCCTCCTTTTCTTGGCGGAAACCAGGCGTGCGGTCCTGCTTCCCGTTATGTACGGAGGTAGAAGGAAAGGGTTCTGTCCCCTCGGCGTCATGTCTTCGGTGCCGGCGGTTTCCTGTCTGCCGGTTCTATCCTCAAGCGCCGAGACAAGGTTCTCCTTGGAGCAGCACAGGACTGAGGTCCAGCGGTCTGACAGGGTGCTCACGCCATCTTCTTTGGTTTCAGATCTGCGAATACCACCGCAGGAGCGTGAGCTGTCGTCTACCCTCTCTTCCATTCACCATTGCAACCAATAAAAGCTGTTCTTACTGGTAAATCTGTGTGCTTTTTTTGTTGTTTTGGTTTTTGTTATTTTTTCCCTTCGAGGCTGCGGATTTTGGAAAGGCTGTACGCATTTTTCAGTGACACGGAATTTGCGGATCTTCCCTTGAGCTCAGGCCTTGTAGCAGTTCAGAGTGCACTTAAAGGCAAGGTTCTTAGGCTGACCTTGACTTTGCCGGGAACTCCGGATGGCTGCGTTGCGCCGAAAACTCCTACTCTTGGGGCCCAGCCGCGCCTTGGCGGGTAAGAAAGATAAGTTCCTAGTGACCTGGGGGATCTAGTACCTGAAATTGTGGCTTTTAAAACCCCCGATAGCTCTACGCACTTGTACAAGTCCCTTCTCTCAAACATACATAGGCACTGTTTTTTGCAGCGGTGAGACAGAACTCCAGCACTGGTGACACATATCTTCCTCCACCCTTGTTCATAGGTTCCCTGGCCGGTAGTTGCCTGGCAGACCGCTGCCTCTGGGATCAACTCCATGCTCAGCCTCTGGGCAATGGCCGTACCTTTGACTGGTTCTTTGGATACGAGGAAGTTCAGGAACTCCTACTATCACTACTGCAAAAGGCACCAGCTGCCTCTCCACCGCGGGTGCTGGATGTGGGCTGTGGGACCTCAAGCCTATGCACAGGCCTCTACACCCAGTCCCCATACCCTGTCAGTATTCTAGGGGTGGACTTCTCCCCTGTGGCTGTGGCCCATATGAACAACCTTCTGCAGGGTGGCCAAGGTCAAACACCCCTATGCCCTAGGCACCCTGACTCCTGCCTCCAATTTATGCAGGCTGATGCCCAGAATCTGGGGCCTGTGGCTGCCTCAGGCTCCTTCCAGCTATTGCTGGACAAGGGCACCTGGGATGCTGTTGCACGTGGTGGTCTGCCTGGAGCTCACCAGCTGCTATCAGAATGTTTGAGGGTCCTAAGCCCCAAAGGGACCCTAATTCAATTCTCAGATGAGGACCCTGATGTGCGACTGCCCTGCCTAGAGAAAAGATCTCATGGTAGGACTGTGACTGTGCAGGAGTTAGGCCCTTTCAGGGGCATTACCTACTTTGCTTACTTTGTTAAAGGCTCTCATTAAAGATTGTCTTACCCATAGTGTTTTCTGTTGGAAAGAGCTTCATCTTGGGAATATGCATGGCTGAGCTGGGCATGATGGCACATGCCTATAATCCCAGTGGTTTTAGAGGCTGAAGCAAGAGGATCTTGACTTCAAAGCCAGACTCATCAAAGGCAAGGCACTAAGCAATTCAATAGGACCCTTCCTCTAAATACAAACTAGGGCTGGGGATGTGGTGCCCATGAATTCAATCCCCAGTACTGCCCCCTTCCCCCCCGCCCAAAAAAAAAAAAAAAAAACTAGGTGAAAAGTTGAAGGGAAAGACAATGCTTACCCACAAAGCTCCTGAGAAGCAGGAGATGAGAATATTCTACAAAGCAGTTTCTAGAGACAGGAGACTATTATTGGGTCCCAAAAACAGGGAGTGGGGGCTTCCTGATATAACCTGTCCTCAGGAATACAGGGGCATCTTGCTCTTCCTGTTCCCAGCTGAGTCTAGGGATGTTCTAGGGGATATCTGAAGTCCTCTGGGTTCCAAACCCAATCTGAGGGAAGAGGGGAGTAAAGAGCCCATTAACAGTAAAAAACATTCCTGATATTTAAAAATCATAAAGCTGGGCATGATGGCTCATGCCTGTAATCCCAGTCAGGAGCTGAAGCAGGAGGGTTTTGAATTCAGAGCATCAGCAAAAAGCAAGGAACCAAGCAACTTCAGAGAGACCCTGTCTCTAAATAAAAGGCAAAATAGGCCTGGGGGTGTGGCTCAGTGATCAAGTGCCCTTGAATTCAATCCTCAGTAGTGGGGTGGGGGGGAGCCTAACTTCATAACTTTGATTTATAAAGAGAAAGTGTCTCATTGGATTATTCTGAAAATCATGAGGTAAAAGTGTATAGCACAGGCAGCCATGGCTTGTGCCTGTAGGATCAGAGTTCAAGGCTGCAATGAGACCCTGTCTAAATAAAAAATAAAAGGACTTGGGGATGTAGCTCAGTGGTAAAATGCCTCAGCTCAGTGTATCCAATACCCAGTAGCTCCTCTTCCCCAAAATTAAAATACAGATTAAAAAGTATCACCCATTCTGACATGAAACTGCCCTCTTATTGTTCATCAGTCTTGTCAACTGCCTAGACTTTTCTCCTATATTTTTCTCTTTTTTTTTTTTTTTTTTAAAGAGTGAGAGAGAGAATTTTAATATTTATTTTTTAGTATTTGGCGGACACAACATCTTTGTTTGTATGTGGTGCTGAGGATCGAACCCGGGCCGCGCACATGCCAGGCAAGCGCGCTACCACTTGAGCCACATCCCCAGCCCCTCCTATATTTTTCTCTACCACATTCATTTAATACCTTGTGAAGAAGGGGATGCTGAGGATCAAACATGCTAAGTAAGCATGCACTTTACCGCTGGCTACACCTGAAACCCTTTTCTGTGTTTATTGAGTACCAATATGTGCTTGGCCCTGCTATCTGCAGGAGACAGTGAATCCATTTTGGCCCACTCTAGAACATCCAGATCACAGTATCCCAATTGAAACAGTATCCCTTACCTGGTTCTACACTTGGTCCTGGAAGAAGGCCTCAGATTCTTCCTTGCCATCAGTGAGCAGCTGAAGTTCCTTTGACCATTGGAGACCACCACCATCTTCATTTGCCTCCGTGGCTTCCACCACAATACAGGACAGGTGGAACTTTCAAGAGACAATCTAAATAAAGACAATGGGAATGTTGTGCACAAGTTGATTATGAGCCAGCAAGCAGCAGGACACAAGTTGAGGACATACTAACCTGATCGGTTATCTTAAAACTGAGATTGTTACTATTAGGAGTCACATTTTCCAATGGAGAAACCTGGGGCAAGGAACTTAAATGATTTTCTTAGTAGATATCCAGTTCGGGTATTTTCATCTCCGAACTAGAATTTGGTATATTACACAAGTTCCACAGACTTCGTGGTTTAAAAGTAAACAAACGTCAACACCAAGTGTATGTATACCTTGAGGAAAAGTATTAACAACCTATTTGTAAGATAAACAAGAAATAGAAAATTATACCCATTCCCCACCTAGTACTGAGTTGTTTCAGAGTTAAAAGGATTGGGAGGGGCCAATTGATTGATGGGTGTAAATATCCGGAGGAATACTTTGTGCTATTTTGAAAACGGCACAATACTACAGGAAATGAAAGCAGTTCTATTTCTGATTGGAAGACTTCAGAGGACAGAAAATGGGAAACTGTAAAATCAACAATAACCATAAAGACATGCATTCTTGGGCTGGGGATGTGGCTCAAGTGGTAGCGTGCTCGCCTGGCATGCGTGCGGCCCGGGTTCGATCCTCAGCACCACATACAAACAAAGATATTGTGTCCACCGAAAAATAAATAAATAAATTAAAAAAAAAAAAAAAAAGACATGCATTCTCCTCCTAGCTTCTAGGCATCCTACTCTGGACAATGGGCCCGGTGCTTAGTCCTTGGTGCCAACAATTTTTATTTTTATTTATTTGATACTGGGGATTGAACTAAGGAGCACTCGACTACTGAGCCACATCTCCAGCCCCATTTTGTATTTTATTTAGAGACAGGATCTCACTGAATTGCTTAGCACCTCGCTTTTGTTGAAGCTGGCTTCGAACTCATGATCTTCCTGTCTCAGCCTCCGGAGCCACTGGGATTACAGGCGTGTGCCACCGCACCAGGCTTGTGCCAACAATTTTTATATTATTATCGAACCTAGATGCGCTTTACCACCAAGCCATATACCCAGGGTCTCTAAGTTGCTAAGGCTGGTTTCAAACTTGTGATCCTCCTGCTTCAGGCTCCTGAATCCATGGGATTACAGGGGCGCGCCACCGCTGGGCCGTTTACCAACACTTAGAAGATTTGCTCAACGTCCCCAGGTATTTAGACCCAAGCGCTCAGGATTCTAAATATTTCTAAGGCCAGGCTCTCTATACTCCGGCTGCTTCTCTATGGTTTCTACGGGTCGCTCTAGCCTGCGCAGGGGCCGGTGAGACGTCGTAGCTACCCTCTAGGCTGCCGTAGACTACGGAGGTTGTCTCGTTGGTTGCACTCAGCCATGCAGAGTGTGCAGAAAGTGCTGATGGTAGTAGCGGTGCTGGGCGCTGGGGCTGGCGTGGGGTCCGCGCTCTTTGCTCTGGTAACCCCAGGAGAGCTGCAGAAGCAGGAGATGCTGAAGGTAGGTACAACTGAGAATTCTGAGGAGGAGCGGGCTTACGGAGAACCCTGGACTGGTGTCCTGGTTTGTGAACTCCCTTCCTGTTCCCAGGAGATGCCCGAGCAGGACCCTCGACGCAGGGATGAAGGGAAGAGGAACCAGCAGCTAGTGATGGCCACGCTGCAGGAGGCCGCGGCCACGCAGGAGAATGTAGCGTGGAGGAAGAACTGGTTGGTTGGCGGCGGCGGCGGGAAATCAGCGTGATGCCAGACCTGTCCGAGTGGGTGCTACGACCTTGGTTTGAGCGCAGATCACAGGCAGCCTTTCAGCTCGGTGAAACCGGCGGGGAATATGGACCTCGGATGCCGCACTCCAGGTCCCGGAGAGCGGCCGCCGGGTGAGCATCGTACCCCCTTCAACTCTGCGCTGATTGTGTTAACATCCACATCATTCGCCAAAGTCGTGTCCGGGGTCGGTTATGGTGAACAGAGAGAACCAATAAATTCTGTGCCACCCAAGTGAGCCGTGCAGTCGCACGCCTACTGGTGCTGAGAGATGTGCGGGTCATCGCTCCAGCCGGCTTGGGGAGCTCT